AGTTATTCACTTCTGAACAAAGGATATTTACAGCATCTTTTTACAAATTTACGTGAGCGTTTGGCGCAAATTAATAGCTTTCAATGCAGCTAGAAATTGTTTTTGAGCAATTGGTAAAGATATTTAAATGATTTTATGTTGTAATTTCCACTACTGAATTTTAAATCGAATTGGCAGACAGTTTCAGCCGGTCGAATTGGCAGATGGCGAATTGGCAGTGAATTGGCAGACAACTTCAGCTTGGTTTAAGGTCTTAGGATCATCCCAGGATTGAAAAAGCTTACTTCTTAGTCTCCCGCCTTTCCCTGCGCTACGAAGCCATAAGACAAGATACAAAAAAGTCCTGACCAGAGATCGTAAGACTCTCACTTTCGTGGCTAAAATTTTCTTTCGGTTAACAGTTTTTATGACTAACGGTTAAAATGTTCCAATTTTTACCCCTAACGGCTAAATTTTTGGCTCGTTTTACGGCGACCTGGTGACCTCCCCCCCCCCCTCCCCCTTGAGACTCTCGTAAAGGGGGAGGGGAGGGAGGTGGAAACAAAACTTACTCGTTCAACGAGGTGTGCGGTTTTGATTGGTCAATATATTTAGTCTGTCCCAGGCATGGAGCATGGAACACGCTATATTTCATCAGAAGACAAATGACACTCGACAAGACTCAGAATAAAACAAAAAAACAAAAAAAACAAAAATGCTGAGTCTTGTCGAGTGACTCAGCATTTGATTGCTGTTCGATTGTGATCCTACCTCTTCTTGTAACATTCCATATTTAATTCATTTTAATTTTTAAACGGAAATTAAAGTGAGTACTCTATTGCATAAGTGATCGTACATGGTTTGGTTTCCTATAATTCAATTTCATCTATCAATGGAAACTGGAAGGAACTTGATTAGAATGTACAATTAGCAAATACGAATCATTTGAAAGTGACACCTTACTATGGAAACTTAGACAAGCGAATATAACATGTGCGTGCAAACACGTCTGATGAACTGTACTATACTAAGATGTATTTACTTCCTGTTCAGCTGGAATTTGACGAGCTAATGGCTTCTATTCGCTGGTTACGTCTTATTTTTAGCATACTTTTGAAAACTACTCTGAACTTTGAAAGCCGCCAAGCATATAGGAACGGATTGAGCAGAGATTTCATGGTGAAGATGTAATAAAATATGGCAAACAAGTACATTTCGTACGATTTGTGATCTTCACATGTTGGACAGGCTCCAATCACTTGATAGAAGACAAACCAAGGGGTGAGACAAAACAGAAATAGACACAAAGCTACCAACATCGCCTTGGTCATGTTTCGCTCTCTTCTGTAAGCATTCATTACAAGTCTCCCTGACTCGTCAAGGTTGCTCGATGCGGCGCTCTTTCGATGCCTTCTCAGGACGCAGTAAAGACGAAAGTAAAACACGACGCTGCTGATTGACGGCAGCACGGTGTGGGCCCCAGATATGACATTTATGAGCACAATCGAGTAGTTAAGTTCCCTTAACACTGTGCGATACGACATGTAGATACTGCTATAGGGCCAGATTATCATAATCCAAAAAAACACTCGTTTCTTTGTCACTGTTGCGCTGTACTGTAATGGCTTCGCCACGGCTGTATATCGATCGAACGACAAAGCGACTACATGAAAAAGCGACGAAACCAGGAACAATGAACTCACTGCTTCAATTGAATGAACAGCTCTAGAGGAAAATGTTAAAATCCACCAAGCACATAAGGGTTCTTGTACTAAACCCACGAAAAAATCGGCCAGAGCTTGACTCGCAATGAGAAGATTCAACGGCACCCTCTGTAAATTTCTGTTGGGGTCTCTCCATACTGCAAGAACTACCAGGGCGTTTGCGAAAGAAGTGGCTGTTGCCGTGAGGACGACCAATACCGCCCAAAAATACTTGAGATCAAAGTTAGCTTCTTTCCAAGGCGTGCTTAATGGATCGTAAAAGTCGTCTTCCATCTTCATCAAACTTAAAGGTTGTTCTTTGTCCGCATGTTTGAAGAACAATGAAATTCGATTCCTTTTGTATGTTTTGCACGTTTATCGCTTGCAATTCTTAACTGTTAGTTTAAGAAAGCAAACATCCCTTTTAATATCTAACGCAATCAGGAATCAAACCCGTCAGCTGAATCTAGTGGAGTATTCTTTGATTCTTGCTAACGCTTATAATCTGTCAAAAAATAATTGTTGTTGAATATTTGGTGTCAATAAATTATTTTTCGTGCTAAATCGTTTAATTTAAACTTGTATCTTTTTTCCCTTGAATAATCTGGTCCTGATGATTTTACCTCTACCATTAACATTAAAAATAATACATTTGTATCTTTTTGTAATTGATTTGATTATCAGTTTTATCTTTTTTTCCGTTCGAAAGCGTTAGTTTAAGAAGGCAAGCATCTTTTAACTTTACAGACAATCAAAGATCTAAGCAGCAGCTGTGTTTTTTTACTTTGGCCGATTCTTTTCACTTTGACCGATGACCTGTCAAACCAATGCTACTGCGATTACCAAAGTGATATAAGAAATTTTTGACATGTGTTTTCAATTTTTAGTTAAGTTTGATTTTCGAGGAGAAATGACTTTGTTATTTCATTTTAATGCTCGCTTTTTCCTCAATTTAGTTATACTAAGCTTGCACTAAACTGATGCGAAAAATAATAATTCTTTTAATTCAAATGCAAGAATATTAGGAACTAAAAATGGAGTCAGTTTATTTAAACAGATCGCCTACCGTTTCTATATAAAATTAAGAAACTAAGACTCACTCATTTCCGATTTGTAAAGAAGAGTATCCCTGATTTCAAGGTTATTTCATTTCGACAAATCTATACACGTTCACTGAAAAAAATACCAAATTAAATGCAAATAATATTCTTATGGCTTAGTTATATCCGGACTGTCGCGGTAAATCTGAAATTTACGAAAATGGATGTTAATCTCGATTTTTGTTGTTAACGTGGTATTAGTGGGATTTTGAACTGGTATGAGTAGCTAGCTATTCCTCGTATGTTAATATGAAAAAAGGATTTCATAAAAAAGAAAAAAAATGAACTAGAACCATTAATTAAGAATCAAATGGCTAAAGATGTATCAAAAAGGAGGTTGGATTAATCAACGCGGAGATGTCAGGACCGACATCATACAATTAACCAATCATTACTTTATCAAATGTAAGTCTCTAGACACAAGACTTGATTCGTCAGTTTCCATTCATATTTTAACCTCTACCTACTAAGCTCAAATCAGCGTCATCATTTCGATATTCTGAGGGTGATATGTCTCCAAAACGTGAATTAGATACCAGACTTAGATGTTTACCCTAAGCCCCGCCAAAGGGTAAACATGTAAACATTTGAATAAAAGGAGTTTGAGGAAATTCAACGAAACGCTAGATCAAAATTGGATAGGTGTAACTCCAAAGGGATCACCCAAAGAGATTAACAACTTTTATAAGTAAAAATATCACTGAACAAACCTGAAAATTTACTACAAGTCATCTTTAATCAATAAATTTTTCAAAGCGTTAAGTTAAGCATCGTCTACTATTGGTTGAGAATCTGTGAGTCTAATATTAATTGTTGTTGTCGCTTTCGATTATTATTGGGGCTACGCCACAATATTGTGAATTTGAAGATGTTATTTTGGGTTTATTTAACTCTATATCTGTATTTATGCAACGTAGAAATGCCTTGCAAACGTACGTAAAGTTGTCAGCCTTAACGTTTTCTTACTTTTCTTTGTGTGTAGTGAAATATGTGCAATTAATCTTCCTTTTCTTAAACACCATAAGCGTCCCTAAGCACTAATATTGAAACACTAAGATCAACACTAAAGCTTTACAAATTTTGCGTGCGTATGATAGGCGAATATATTGGTTTTGTTCCACCTAATGCAATTAAAGGAAGGAAGTGAAGTTAATGCAATTAAATTAGAAAAATAATTAATAACTTTTGTTCACCTTGCATGATGGCGCCCTTGTAGTTCTACGTTAAAAGAAACCCTTTAGAATTTTTTTCTTGTTAAGAACTATGATCTTAAAACGTTATTCACGTCTTTGTGCTGTCTGCTAATAACGTTAAATTAAATCGATGTTGCATTCAGTCAATTTGCGGATAAGAATAGCGAAACGGATGTCTTGACCAAGGTAGAAAAAGTAATTATGAGGTGGAAAAATACATCATTAAGCACTGGAGTGATTTTGGGAAAGCTTCTCGCAGACGATAACCCGCCATCAAGAAATATATCTAAACTATTCACGTGTAAGAAACGTTTTGTTGACTTTTGAATTCAATTCCTGGGACTGTTTATATTTCCCAACTTATCTCTCATTATAACATATTAATATATTTTTCCTTTTTTAAAGAATGAAATTTTCAAGGCATCTGTGGTTATCCGCTGTTCGCTTTGTTGCCTTCATCTGCGTCGTTGCTGGCACACAAAGAGACGAGAATTCCAGGTGTACAATTTTTACAGCATATCCAGGTAATCTCTAAAAAAGAAAAATCATTACTTCTGCCGGACATTTATAGAGAAGCTCCGTCCATATGTTTCAGGATTGCTGAAAGAAATCAAAGTTTGCGGCGTTATTTGAGTCACGCCAAAGTACACTAATATTTGTTTCTATATTAGGGAGACTAGAGAATTCTGAGGGCTGGTCAGCAATGCCGCAAACTAATTTTAGCAGGAAGCAATTACGAGTATTTTTCCTCCTTTGGTACTCGAAAGGAGCTTTTAGGGTATCAAGTTATTAGACCAAGACCACAACACAGTGATGCCGACCAGGGCTGGAACCCGGGCCCCCAAATCAGGACCCACCGCCCATTTCGCCTTAAAAATAACCGTGATAAACTTAGGGCTTTCGAAAATAGATTTACTCTTATCCTGAAAGGCAAAATTTTTATGTCGTGAGCTGATGACTTTTTTTTTCAGGCCATGTTCTGAAGAATCACACTGTTGCTCTGTACCACGTGACATCAGAAATGGCTTGTGGTTTGAAGTGCTTACAACATGACACGTGCAAATCATATAACTACAAACCAATCAGCGTCGAGCAAAGTAAAGTTTGCGAGCTGAAGGACGCAAACAGAGTCACGTGTCCCTCGTGTTTTGTGAAAGAACTAAACACAACTTACTACGAAGATATCAAGGTACTAAACATTAAAAAGGATATCTCTGAGTCCAGACAATTACAAAAAATATAATAAAATTGCATATTTATACTGTAAGTTTTTAAATTGAATTTACTTGCTTTAGAGCTAATTTGAACGTTTAGTGTTTTATTACAGATTTACTCGTAGCAGCTTGTTGCAAGCAGAACGAAATGATAGTTTCTTCGTTTTCTGTTTTGTTTTTTCAGTTGTCGTTGTTCAAGATTCAGGTTGCTGAAAATATCTCGATCAATTACGGTACGTGACATCCAACTCCTTGTGAGTACTGAAAAGAAATTGCGCTCATAGATTAATGAACGTACCAATTAAAATAAGGAAATTATTCCCAACCGTCTCTACCAAATGGTAAACAATATATTCAAGACATGCATAGCACTTGATAAATTTAGTGTCCTTGCCTTTAAATAATAGGCGAGATCCTCAAGGTCGTACATTTTCTGTTAATTCGACTACACTTTGGAAGTTTATTGCATAAAGACAAGGATCTTTCCAGATCTGAAATACCTACAAAATGCATTTTTAGTATAACGACAGCAAAATTGGATATTTTTCAGTTTGGAAACGTAACTGCAGGACAAGTACTAGTTCTCTTGTTTTTCCTTCTGACTTCAATTTCAACTGAGTTCAACGTTTTTTCTTTTTGCTTCTGTCGGAACATAACATATATCTTTTCTTTTTTCTCTTTTTTTAATGTTCCGATTTTATATCTCTGGATGGGATTCAACTGAAATTTTAACTGATAGCATAGAAATTACGCTTTTTTTTAACCCATAGCTGATATCTGAGGTAGTCTGCAAAATTTACCAATAGCTGAGAAATAGGCTGAAATTTGTGTTGATAGATGAGAAATCTCCAAGAATTTAACTGATAACTGGGATTCCAGTATCTAGACCTTCGAGGAGCTTCGTGTTTCTCGTTGCCGTTGTGATGCCCTGATATGTCTCTTGTTGCACTTTGATAGAGCCTCTGGGCTACGATGTGATCTTTCCAAGCAAAGATAACTTCAGCTATCTGGATCAGAACTTACCGCCATCAATCGACTTACGAGAGTTCACTCTATGCTTCTGGATGAAGACCGCTGACCACGAACATGGCACTATATTCAGTTACGCTCTGCCCCAAACCTTAAACCAACTCCTCATTAAAAAGGATTCTTTTTTCGTCAATGATTGTTATGAGTGAGTTTGTACATTACGGCAAAACCCGTGTGTAAGAACCTACATTTTTTGAAGTCTGGCAAAATCAGTCCTTGTATTTTGGGGTAGTTATGTTATTGGCAATTAAATTTTATAGGCTAACAGTAATTATCATTAGGTCCTTCAATCTCTATAGCAGAGATATAGTTGTTAAACAAATTGTGGTTTGGTCCTTAAATGCACAGTATTCATTATGATAAGCCTAACACAACTGAGTACAGCATATAGTAGTGTTGCCTCTAAAACAAGAGTTCATAATTTAACTGTAACCCACATATTAATTATAAATACCTGCTTGATCTTACTTGGCTAAAAAGGTTCTTATATTTTTGGGTTTTAAAATGGCAAATTTCTGCAGCAGGTTCTTAAACCAATAGGTTCTTACACACTAGTTTGTACTGTATATCATTTTGCTTTGCTGACATCAATATAGTTAATGTAGTTAACAAGTCAAACAAGGTAAATAAAGACATTTCTATGAAAGCCAGTTTGATCAACAACAGGCGATATAGGGCAACTGTTGAGGACGTCTCTGTTTACATTTTACCTCGTTTGCAAACGACTTTGGGTAGAGAAGGCATCACACTAGATACGAATTCGCTCCAAAAAATTAAACAGCATGGTACAAAGGGAAATGTTTTGCTCTTTGGGTGTAATATTGAAGGAAAGATTGATTTGTAAAAATATCTGTAAAAGCGCCAATGAACCCATGCAGTCTTGTGAAATTTTGACTTTTAAAAACCCAAAAAAGTACTTAATTCATCGTTCTCAAATTCCTTAAGACAGTTAATTGTGCTGCAACTTTTCAATATTAAGAACTGAATCGCTTATGCTAATGAAACAAATATTTCCCTGAACAATCCCTTCCTTTAGAAATGTAAGTTTTGATAGTGTTATATTTGCTTTCATCCCAGAAACACCTCGCTTGGAGTTTATTATGATGGACTATGGCACCCCGTTTGCATTGTTTGGGGGAACAAGAATGGAGTTTGGAAGTTGTTCGCTGATGATGTGATCATTGATTCTGGAATTAATTTCCAGACAGGCCACGTGATCAAGGGGGGAGGAGTGGTAATCATTGGCCAACATCAAGACTTATTCTCAGAAGGAGACCAGAGTGGATTTCAATATTCACAAGGTTTTGTGGGAAGGATCAGTGGAATGAATTTATGGGACTTCATTGTGCCTCAGAAAAAGATACTGCGCATGTCCCAAACGTGTGGCGTGGAAATTGGTAATGTTCTCCAGTGGCTGGATTTTGAGACCAAGTATCATGGTGACGTCATACTGGAGAATCCTTCCTCGTGCCAGATCCCCAGTGCAAAACAAGGAACTAAAAAAACTAAATCCAACCATTAGTATCAGATCATAGATGTTATCCAAATTGATTTTTAACATCTTAACTCCACGCTAGAATAATTATCCATTTTAATTGTGGTTCTGTGCTTGTTTATTACCAGCCTGCTTCTCAATTGCATTGTTATTTTTAAAATAAGATTTTGATGGTACGCTAACCAAATCTTGTTTCAATTAAATAGTAACAGTGGATTGAAGAGAACTCTTATTTTTTTGGAGTTGAGGTAGTTATCCATGCCTTGTTATATTTGTTTGTTAAAATATTGGACCATATGTTCATCTACTTGTCCGTAGACATGTCCACTTACCAATTTGTCTACTTCTCTCCGTGTTTGCCTTTTAAAAATGTTTAATTGTAAATATTTTTTGTTTCTTTCTTTAATATATAACTGAGAAAATTACTTCACTGTGATTGGCTGAGAGCAG